TCGCTGAGCTTAGCCCAGCTCAGCATCGAAGACACCGTCGATAACATTCAGTAACAACATCCTGAAGCAATGGGCAATGTTTTGGAAATCAATTGGTACAAGTATACCCGATGACAAAGTTGCATAGCGCCGGCAAAGCGTGTCCCTATAAACGCGTTCGCACCGATACACCGATACACACACTTATAGAATTGCGTACTGACTTGAAAGCGATTTGCCACACGCCGGCCTGAGTTAAAATAACATGAGATACCAGGAGGACAAACAGTAAGTTAAAGGCCATCGCTTTTAGGTTGGAGGCCATCGCAAGGAAGTTGGAGGCCAACGCCTAAGGTTGGAGGCCGTCGCTAGTAGGTGGTAGGTAGTACGAACAAGCAAAACAAAAGTGACAAGTAGTAAGTTAAAGGCCATCACTTTTTTGGTTGGAGGCCATTGCAAGGAAGTGGGGGCCAACGCCTAAAGGTTGGAGGCCGTCGCTAGTAGGTGGTAGGTACTCTGCACAAGCAAAGCAAAAGTGACAGCGAGCAGCAAGGTTGGAGGTCGTCGCTAGTGGGTTGGAGGCCATAGTACCAGGTTGGAGGCCAGTGCTACAAGTTTACAAGAAGCACAAGGAACACAAGACACACAAGACAGCCAAGGTTGGAGGCCAATGCTAGTGGGTGGAGGCCAAAGAATTCAGGTTGAAGGACCACATTACAAGTTTGGAGGCCTACCTGCAAACCTATAGGGTAGAAGAGAAGAAAAACAGAAGGAAAGGCACCGACCATCCGGCCGCAAAGGTCTCCGGCGTCAATTTCGCCAGCTTCATTGACCAGGCGACGATGTATCTGGCCTGGTCTCCTGTAAACACTCCAAAAGGAGCCTTGTGACTCCAAAGGTTACACACACACCCCCCCGAAAGGTATGTGTGGCCTCCATCCTGCCCGGAAAGGAGGCGCCCGCGTCCTGCCCTGAAAGGGGGTTATGCGAAACACATGTGCGCGCAAAGGAGACAGATGAAAATGAGAAAGACGAGACAGACAAAAAGTGTGTGTGGTTGCCAATGAAGAAAAACCTAGTGAAGAGGGACAACTGTAACAAACCTGGGCCACCTGAACCTTGTTGTAAGTAGAATACACGTGCGTGTATGTGTACAAGCTAAGGTCCGGACGAAAGTGCGCACAAGAGAAGGAAAGGATGAGGATGAAGAGACATGAAGACAGAAAGACATGAAAGAAAAGAAGGGAAGACGTCTGTGGGGGCCAATGAAAGGGGAACCAAATGAAAGGGGACAAACCGAAGACAGACCAAACCTCATTGAGAAACCTGTTGCAGAAGCCTTGTTTGCTTGTAGGCACGCCGCGCGCGAGGAAAGAGGGGGGAAGGGGAGGAAGAAACGAGAAGGAGAGAAAGGAGGAAACTAACGTGCTCCCGGCTACGACGCAAGCGTCCAAGGACACACCAAAAAGGAAGGGCTCCCAGCTATGACGAAAGCATCCAGGGACACCCATGGAAGAAGGAAGGTGAAGACCTAGATGACAAAGAGGGGAGAGAGGAGGGGAGGGGAGGAGGAAGGGGCAAAGGTCGCGACAGACTCCAACAACACCAAGCTTCGGGCGCTGCGGCCACGTACGCCGTGCCAAAATGGCTGGCTGCTCAGACCGCTCCGGTCACCTAACGGCGTGCCCGAAGGCTGCCTGCTTGTACTCAATAATTCAGCAAGTCTTGGCAAATGACTTTGGCCTAAGCCTACTTCGCCCGCTCTGGGCACGTACATCTCCGGGCAGGGGAGATAAAGACCAACGCCCGTTCGACGGGTCCGCAGGGGCCACTCTTCGGGGTCACCCTGGGCTCTCGCGAGGAGAGACACACTTATAGAATTGCGTACTGACTTGAAAGCGGGTTGCCACATGCCGGCCTGAGTTTAAAAACATGAGATACCAGGAGGCCGAATAGTAAGTTAAAGGCCATCACTTTTAGGTTGGAGGCCATCGCGCGGAAGTTGGAGGCCAACGCCTAAGGTTGGAGGCCGTCGCTAGTAGGTGGTAGGTAGTACGAACAAGCGAAACAAAAGTTACAATTGTTTTTCTGGTTGGAGGCCATTGCAAGGAAGTTGGGGCCAACGCCTAGGGTTGGAGGCCGTCACTAGTAGGTGGTAGGTACTATGCGCAAGCAAAGCAAAAGTGACAGCGAGCAGCAAGGTTGGAGGTCGTCGCTAGTGGGTTGGAGGCCATAGTACCAGGTTGGAGGCCAGTGCTACAAGTTTACAAGAAGCACAAGGAACACAAGACACACAAGACAGCCAAGGTTGGAGGCCAATGCTAGTGGGTGGAGGCCAAAGAATTCAGGTTGAAGGACCACATTACAAGTTTGGAGGCCTACCTGCAAACCTATAGGGTAGAACTGAGGAAAAACAGAAGGAAAGGCACCGACACACAAGTGTGTCGAGTACCATTTCCTTCTGTTCTCCTAAATAGTGGAGCAGCTACGTGGAAATGGCGTCCCATTTCCATATCCTCAGATACATCGCCAGCTTCATTGACCAGGCGACGATGTATCTGGCCTGGTCCCCTGCTTTAAAGGGTAACACTCCAAAAGGAGCCTTGTGACTCCAAAGGTTACACACTCTGACATTGGTTTGCTGTTAACTCAATTCCCACGATGAGAAGGAAGGTGATGGAACAGCAAGGTGAAC